CCCCAATTCTTCCACGGAGAGAGCCTCTCGGGTTGGAGCTTAGGGAAGATTGGGCGCCTGCCTCGATCTCCCGCGCTGCCCTCACGCCCTCAGGAGTTGCAAAGTTTGCAAAGTCCCAGATGCACTCCGAGTCAGGGGGAGCGAGTGGGTTCTCTGCGAGGGCCAGGCCGCAGCCGAGATCCTGGTCAGGGAGGCAGGCAGAGCCCGCGCAGCCAGTGGCTGGGCTCTCCCTGGCGCCCCCAGCTCTGGCCCGGTCCCCCACCCCAAGACTGTTCATTAAAAACGGAGTACGTCATGGGAAGGGGGGCGGCGTGACGCTGGCGAGGGAGAGTTGAGTCTGTCCCGGACTGGTTTTCCCTGGGGGTCGGGGGCTGGGGAAAGAGGAGGCACCCGGAAAGGGGTGGTAGTCAGAGGAGGGGGGGAGAATAAGGGGAAGAAAGAGAGGGAGCGGGCGGAGTCGGAGAGAGGGAGAAGCAGGCGCCGGGGTCTCAGGTTGGATTATTTGTCGGTCTTAAATCCCAAATTGATGTCCATTAACGGGACACGAAAGTGAGGAGCCCTTAATGCTGACTACGGATCGATCCACGTCATTACAGATTAAGGGCCGGAATCTATCACGGGGTGGTGGGCGAGCCAGATGGAAAGAAAAGATGCGTCTAGGAAGAGACACACCTGGCCAGTGCTTCTCCAGCCCCTCCCCCTAGGCTCAGGTGGGATTTAAAACTGCTCCTCCCATCCCCCCACCAAGAATCTAGACAGAAGGCAAAAGCCTAGGAGGCCCGGAGGGAATCTGGAGGGGGCGCTGGAGAAGTGAGGAAAGTGGGGCCAGGGAACCAGAGAGAGTGAAGGACATCCCGGGACAGGCTAGAGTCCCCGTTTGAGGGTCGAATGGGGGAGGGGGGTTCTGGCCTTGGTGACCCCAGGCCTCAACATCTCCTCTCTGCGTAACAGGTTCCTCCTTTGGGCCCAGCGGCCGGCGCGGCCGCCAGACCTACACGCGCTACCAGACGCTGGAGCTGGAAAAGGAGTTTCACTACAATCGCTACCTGACGCGGCGGCGGCGCATTGAGATCGCGCACGCCCTGTGCCTGACGGAACGGCAGATCAAGATCTGGTTCCAGAACCGGCGCATGAAGTGGAAAAAGGAGAGCAAACTGCTCAGCGCGTCTCAGCTCAGTGCCGAGGAGGAAGAAGAAAAACCGGCCGAATGAAGGCGCTGGCAGGGGGCGGGGGGACGCGAAGGGAGAGGCCTGCGGGGAACGGAGGGCAGCGGAGAGCTCCGGGGAAGGCTCTGCGGGCGGGGAAGCCTGGGGACCTGCTCTCCAGAGCGCGACAGGCGGGGCCCCGCGCTCTCCTGGACGCCCCCGCCCGCAGAGCGCTCGCTGGGCGCTGGGAGGCCGTGCTGCCTGAGCCCAGCCGGCACCCCAGCGCCGCCTCCACGCCCGCAGAACCGCCTCGGCCCGAACAGGCTCCCGCGTGAGAACTGAGGACCGGACTCACTTGATGTTTCCTGGAAGCAGAGCAAAATGCTCTTGTCCGTGTCGCGTCTCATTTCGTCCATGTCGCCCGTGCACGGTTCAATGGTAGATTCGCAGTCCCCTCAGCGGGGGCCTCGAAGACTCCCTGACCCCAGACCTCTCTCCCAGCCCCTCCCCAAAGCCACTGGAAGGAGCACATACTACCTAGAAGAAGAGGAGCCTCAGAAGAAAACAAAGTTCTATTTTATTAATTTTCTATGTGTTGTGTTTGTAGTCGTGTCTTAGTTCTGGACGTGAAATACTTCGGTAATAATATTAATATTATTAATAATGATAATAATAATAAAGACGTAAAACCTCGCTGCTCAGTCACCTCTGCTCCTCCCCGGCCACTCCCCCACCCCCTCCGCCACCCCTGCGTCCCGGTGCCGGAAACTCTGCAGCGAAGGCCGGAGCTCTGGTCGGCCCCAGAGGGCCAGACGCGATTCGGAAGTTACAGTTGAGATAAAGGCTGCAGCAGTCCGGCCCAGGCTCCAACGCCGCGCCTCGCCGGTGCTGAGGCTCACAACGGCCTCTTCTGGTGCAGAACTGGGGGACGGAGAAGAGTCGCTCCCCTATTCTCTAGCTTTTCTTCGTTTGTCCGTGGCAGGAGGGAACGCCACCGAGGCCCCCTAGCCGGGAGCTCCTGCAGAGAGTGAGCCAGGCGGGTCTCAGTGCCTCAGCGCTGGGTTCTGTCCGCAGGACCCCTGAGGCCGGTGATCTTTGGCCTGCCCACATGGCCTGATTTCCGCCGGCCTTGGCCCTCGGCTCCTGGCCTAAATTGGGGCCACCGGGTGTCTGTCTCCCTGCCCACAGCTGCAGTCTCCAGGCGTCCCTTCCTGCCTCAAGTAGAGGCTCGGCGGCAAGTAGGGGGATGTGAAGCCGCCGGCAGGCGCCTGGGCGAAGGGCAAGACTTTCCCTGCTCTTTGGAGACCTGAGGGCAGGAAGCCAGGTGATGGGGCAGTTTGGTTACATCCCATCAACTATAACGGACCCATTCTGTCCCCAACCCATCCCACCCCACCCTCACCCTCACCCAGGCGACAAGATGAGGAGACTGTTTTCCTTTCTTCCTCCTCCCTCTTTCCCTTTCTTATTTTTAAAGAAAATAGCCTCCCTCGGCTCCTGGCCTAAATTGGGGCCACCGGGTGTCTGTCTCCCTGCCCACAGCTGCAGTCTCCAGGCATCCCTTCCTGCCTCAAGTAGAGGCTCGGCGGCAAGTAGGGGGATGTGAAGCCGCCGGCAGGCGCCTGGGCGAAGGGCAAGACTTTCCCCTGCTCTTTGGAGACCTGAGGGCAGGAAGCCAGGTGATGGGGCAGTTTGGTTACATCCCATCAACTATAACGGACCCATTCTGTCCCCACCCCATCCCACCCCACCCTCACCCTCACCCAGGCGACAAGATGAGGAGACTGTTTTCCTTTCTTCCTCCTCCCTCTCTTTCCCTTTCTTATTTTTAAAGAAAATAGCCGTCCGGCAGAGGGGGCCCAGCTGTGGCGGTCTCTGGCCGCCAAGCGCGCTCAGCTAGGCGCTGCTGGTCCTCCGAACTCCTTTCCCGGGAAGGCGTGAGCCGCCCGGCAAATTCTGAAACTACCCATATGCCAGCAAGGGGTCTCAAGTAGGGCTTTCCAAGGCAATAGCAGGCAGTTGGTGAGAAAGCGAAAGGATTCTTCCTTGATCCCAGAATCTCAGGACCAGGTTTACAGCCAAAGCCCAGTCCCTGATGCGGTGGCCTCTACAATATTTCTCCCATCTAAGCCACTTAGCCTCTGCTGGGTTCTTCCTTTAGGGTTCCTATCCTGTTCTGCCGTCCTTCCGTCTCCTGGGCTAAGGATGAGAAAGAGAATTTCAAACTTCTAAGGGGACCCGGAGAAGCGAACATTTCTCCTTCGAACCCTCGCCTTTGCCCCACGGGCTTGGCCTGGACGCTGTGGATGGACCACTGCAGCCGGGTCAGGAAGCAGACCAGGCCGAGCTCACAAGGGAAACCCTTTGCAATAATTGTTTTTCACACACATCTTCCAACCTCTCCCTCATTTCTGCCCCCAACTAGGAGACTTGCAAGGCCCGAGTAAAGGAAGAGCAAATCAAGCTTTGGTCACCTTATCCTGAGTTAAAATAATAATAACGACGACGACAGGGAGAAGTACCGAACGATAGAGAAACTCCACTTACGAGAAAGTGGGTAAAGGCTTAATCGGGTTTCTCCTCTAAAAGATTCAACCCTTCGGGTGAACCTAGGCCGGGCCTCTTTCTAGCCCGGCGGTTGCACGGAGCCAGCAGGGAGGCAGTCGTCGCCGCCATGGCGGTCGGCGGCCCGCGCTCCCGCCGTTCGCCGGGAGGTGGCGCGCTCTGCTCAGAGGCCGCCGCCAACCTTCTCCCTGTTTCTCCCCCTTCTCCTTTTTTCCCCCCCCCATATTTGGCCGCATACATAGCAAAACGAAGTACAGTGCATCGCTATAATTCATTAATACATCATAAATCGTGAAGCACAGGGTTATAACGACCACGATCCACAAATCAAGCCCTCCAAAATCACCCAAATGAGCTCGTACTTTGTAAACTCCTTCTCGGGGCGTTATCCAAATGGCCCGGACTATCAGTTGCTAAATTATGGCAGTGGCAGCTCTCTGAGCGGCTCTTACAGGGATCCCGCTGCCATGCACACCGGCTCTTACTACAATTACAATGGGATGGACCTCAGCGTCAACCGCTCCTCGGCCTCCTCCAGCCACTTTGGGGCGGTGGGCGAGAGCTCGCGCGCCTTCCCTGCGCCCGCCCAGGAGCCCCGCTTCAGGCAAGCGGCGTCGAGCTGCTCCCTGTCCTCGCCCGAGTCCTTGCCCTGCACCAACGGCGACAGCCACGGCGCCAAGCCCTCTGCTTCGTCCCCCTCCGACCAGGCGACCCCGGCCAGCTCCAGCGCCAATTTCACCGAAATAGACGAGGCCAGCGCGTCCTCGGAGCCTGAGGAAGCGGCGAGCCAGCTAAGCAGCCCAAGCCTAGCTCGGGCGCAGCCAGAGCCCATGGCCACCTCCACAGCCGCGCCCGAGGGGCAGACTCCGCAGATATTCCCCTGGATGAGGAAGCTTCACATCAGCCATGGTAATTCTCGCTCTCGCGCCCCTTTTTGTCTTCTCGGCTTTTCCTTCTCCGCGTTTGGGGGTGGGGGCAGTCGGCGAGGAGAGCTTGGCTTTTCCTCAAATATAGATTTCTTTTTTTTCGGAGGGGGAGAAGACTCTAAGAGGGTCCTCACAGCTCGGGGGGACAGAGCCAAAAGAGGGCTTAGCTGGGGGGTTGAAGAGGAGTATTTTTAATAATTTGTTCCCAGATTCGCCTTAGGTTTTATTTGCCCAGCTGTACTAGCTTTAGGATGAAGGATGGGGTTTGTGTGACATGGGGAAGGGTCCTGCTTGCCCCCGAAATTTTGAGACTGCTTTTTGCAGAGGAGGGGCGAGCGGTAAAGCGAGCTTTCCAGGGCAAAAGTGCAACCGTTCTCCTCCCTCCCGGGGTGAGTGGCCGCCTGAGCCCAGCGAAGGGTGAGGCGCAGGGAGGGAGCAAGAGACAAAGCCGGGCGCATTCGCTGCGGGCAGAAGTGGGGGCTGTAGGAGAAGGGGGCATCAGAAAGCAAGCTCGGATGCGGGCATCTGGAGTGGGGAGGATCGGAGCTGCGGTGAGCTGGGTGCCGGGGACGCCTGGGTCCTGCTCCACGCCCCCCTCCCACTCAGTGCCCCCTCCCTTAACCAGAATAACGCGGCCTCGCTTCTCTGCTCTGTCTGCTCCAGACATGACCGGGCCGGACGGGAAAAGGGCCCGAACCGCGTACACCCGCTACCAGACCCTGGAGCTGGAGAAGGAGTTCCACTTCAACCGCTACCTGACGCGGCGGCGGCGCATCGAGATCGCCCACGCGCTCTGCCTGTCCGAGCGCCAGATCAAGATCTGGTTCCAGAACCGGCGCATGAAGTGGAAGAAAGACAACAAACTGAAAAGTATGAGCCTGGCTACAGCCGGCAGCGCCTTCCAGCCCTGAGCCCGCCGGGAGGAGCCCGGGCGGCCTAAGAGTTCATGCCGCCCCCAGCCCTGGCCCCTCCAAGCCTCCTCGCGCTGCCGCCGCCCGCTGGGAACCGGTTCCCACGAGCCTGCCTCAGCCCGGGCCTTGTGTTACGATTTTTTCGTTTGGTCTTAGGTCTTCCTGTGGCTCCCTCTCTCCTGGACTGGTTAATCTTGTTATTATTGTAATAATAATGATAATTATTATTTTCCCTCCATGCTCCCCACTCCCCTGCGCTCACCCCCAATCCGCCAGTGTTTCTGAATGTTCGTGTCTGTGGTTGCACTCCTTCCCCCAGGAAAAAAAGAAACTCGCATGTTTAATGTGAACTTTCCCCTCCCCATCTGTGTTATAACTTATTTATAAAAGGATGATCGCTGTATTTTGAGTTTCAGCTGGAAACTTCTCTAAAAGGGGCAGCAGTTGAGGTGGGATAGTGCCGCAGCGCCGGGCCCAGCTGAGCTGGCCTCGGAGACCGGGAGTCCATGACTGTGTCTCTTTCCTCCTTCCTCTTCCTCCTCTCTCACCACTCCCAGACCCAAGTCTCCTAAGGCTTGGTCCTGAGGTGGGAGGGGGCTAAAGGGGACTAAAGGGGTGATGTTGAAAAGAGGGAAGGTACATAGTGAGATTTAAGTTCCTGCTGCCTGGTAGGCCCCACAAGGCCTGGTCTGGGAGCCTTGGAAAACAAAAATAATCCTCAGTGTAAGACGTCTTGTGTATTTCTCTGTGAATCCATGGGTCTGGCATAGAGGGCCCAAAGCTTGTAAATACGGGGATAGCCTGGGTCAGACCTATCCCCTCTTCCGTACCCATTTCGATTCCAAGACCATTTGTAGTGAGCGAGTGGATGCTGTGCTACGTGTGAAATCTGTCTCTGCCGGGCCTGTCTCAGTGATTCGCTTTTGGTATTTGTTTGTAGCTTTCCTTGAAGTCAAATAAATGTCTCCCCTCCTCCACTGCCCTTCCACTTGTCTTTTCTCTGGGGGCCTGCCTCTCCCATCACCAGGCACACCCTAGACCATTCTTGATAGATCTGGGGTGTGGGGAAGGGAGAGTAGGATGCTCCCCAGCAGCCCCTCTCAGCCTCTTAAGTCTCTGCTTAGTCAGCGGTATTTGGGCCAGGGGACAGGCTTTCATGCCTGAGGAACTGAGAGGCCCAGAAATCCCACCTGAAGCTGGAGCAAGGGACAAGGGAAAGGCTGAGCTGGACTCCGCCCTGGCCTTCCACCAGCTGGCCAGAAAAGTCTCTGGAAACCTCTTCAGGAAAAGTAATTTGGGCCTAAGCCCTGAGCAGGAGGCTCCTGGTCTTTTGGAAGAGATACAGGCCTGCCCAGCCCCCTTGTCCCCTAGTCTAAATCCCAATTCAACCCTGTCACCCAGTAGGCAACCCCCCCTCCAAAAAAAATCAGCTCAATTTCAAAGGTTTCCCTCACCCTCAGTCTTTTCTACATTTATCAAGGGCTTCCTCTCTCCAGGGGCCCAACTGACCTGCCCTCTTGATTAGGAGCTGGGGTCCCTCCTAGAAGACCCTTGGTTTCCCCTTCAGCCGAACTGGCACAGGGCCCGGGCCCAATCCTCTTCCATCCAAGTCAGCCTCCACCCTGAGTACAAGAGTCAAGTCTGGACACTTACCCGGTCCGTCCCTTCCAGCTTGGCCCAACTTCTTACAGGGCTGGGGGGGAGGGGGAGCTGGTGAGGAGGCAGCCGAGGGTCTTGGAGGCTCTATTGGGCCCTCTTTCCCCCTTCCCCCTTGACTTTGTCCCCCTTTGTCCATAGCAAACTATCCCAAAAGTCGCTATGACATTTAGATGTCAAATGGATAGGGGTTTTATCTTGAAGTTAGATCGTAAAAATCGCGGAGAAGTCAGACAGATACCCCTCACTGGCTCGAGAAAGTCACGTGAGGTCCATAAAGTTAGTTTTATGGTTTTGGGGAGTTGACACCGCGCGGTATATTTCACATTCTCCAGAATGTTAAGTGACACTTTAACTGCTCGCTGTGGTGGGGAAGGGGGCAGAGGTAGGTGAGCGCTCTCCGGGCCCAGAAGGCGGTGGTGTGGCGGCAGCCCAGGCCCAGCTCTCCCGCAGTAAGTTGCTTCCAGCTTTCGCTTTTCCCCTTGAAATTGTGGGGCTTGAAACTAGGGGAAGGAAACTGTGCCTCCAGCAGGGCTATAGGGTAATAAGTGGGGGAAATTTAGCCTGGTTTTGCACCAAGTTCTGACCAGCTGGGTGTCTGAAGTGGGGCAGCACCTGGTTCAGTGTGATTAAGGCCTCCGCAGTCGGGGGGGTGCTTGGTTTTATTTGCAGGAGTGCCTGACTCTTTGTGGGCAAAAGGCTTGTGTGGGTCCCTTCAGTCCTCTTGGAAATTTAGGGGGCAAAAAGGAGGGGTGTGTACTGCTGATAGGAGGGCCCCATGTTGCGGGGGGCACTCCACTACTGGGCATCTTCAGATAGACGCCTCCCCACCCCTAGGAAAGAACCTTTATGGCATTCGTTTGTCAGGGGTGTGTGGGGGCGCGCCACTAGGCACTTTTATCTGGATACATCTGAGCTGAGAAAAAGCCTGGGGAAGGCTAAGCAGCTGCTGTGGGCTGCCTTGCACTGGCGCACTCTCTGGCTTTTAGATCTTTGAACCCAAGAAAGGGGGTACCTGGGTTCTCCATGCCTTCATCTGGGCTATCTGGGATGGGGAGCGCCGCGTCTGCCTTTGTACCCAACTTCAGACTTTTGGTCCCAAGCCAACCTGCTGACTTGACTCTATGTAGGATCCTGACGTCCAAGTGGGGAGCAGACAGAGGGGGGCATTTCCCTCAAATCCAAAACCTAATTCCTGGCCAGGAGCGGGGAGAAGGAGAGAGCTTCTTTTTTTGTCTAGAGGATCTATGTGTTTAAGCAGATCCCTAGCGATCCCTCCAAAAATAAAAGTTGCTGAAGAACACAGATTCCCAACTGTCGGGAGAGTAAAAGGGTCTCCGGAGCTGAGAGAGAAAACTGGAAAGGTGCTCTCTTTCCTCTCCTTTCTTCTTCTCTCCCTACCAGAGCCTAGAGGCCCTTTGTTTTGTGGCACCACAAACCAGAAGGATTGCATTATTTGACCCCCAGGGGGCCGTTATTTTCTAAGGTTAAGTCACCCTCTTTCTGAAAGCTAGAGGCCTCTTCCTCACCAAATTGACCTTTCCATTTTTAAGATACATGGGGATCAACCATCCCCTCACGCCTGCTTTTGCGATCTCTAGATTTAGCTCACCAACTCGTGTTGTCCCTGGAATTGGACCTGTGACAACTTAAGGGGTTTCTGATCTTTGGGACCAGGAGAGGGTCACAAGATCCTCCCCTTTTCACATTAAAGAACATCTGCACTCTCTCCCCATCTCTGCTTTCTCCTGCAGCTGCTCTCTATTCCCTGAGCTCTCAGATCCCTGTCTAGGCCTAATTTACCAGATACCCTTCATGGGCTTTGAGTGCGAAGAGGACAGAGGACAGAGGCTTTGAGTGCAAAGGTGTCCCCCCCTTGGTGTGAAGACACATCCCTCCCAGAATGTTGGGGCATCTGTGCCCCATGGAAAGGAGATTCTGCTCAACTCCCAAAGGACATCAAGCACAATTTAAAATTCTAGTAAAATTTGGAGGCATGACTTCCACAGGTTTCCACCCTGGACAAGGCAAATGAATTAAATAAGATGCAAAGGAAGAGTTTAGTGGGCACAGAATCTGATGAGGGGCCTCCTGGGCAATCTCATTCCTATGGTGCCCCTGGTCTCACTCTGATGCCACTAGCCACCCTCTCTCAGAAACCCCAGACCACCAGGCCTGCGGCTAGAGATTTTTTGGCCCTCTTCCACATCAGTTCTGCAAATCCTGATAAAGAATGTGTGGGGCCATCAGCCCAAGGACATCTGCTGGGCATATCTAGAGAGATTTTCCGGAATGGCAAAGGGCCGCTCTGGTGGGGGTGCCACTTCTGCCACAATAGCCAAAACTCTTGGAGGATCTCCTCTTACTCTGAGCAGATCCTATCTGGGGAAGATCCCAGCCTATCTGGGCTTTCCTCTTCCCCACTTCAGGTTCTCTGGGTAACTGTCTTCCCTGAACCCTAGCAAGGATCTGTTGGGGAAGAGGATGAGAGCTTCCAAGGGATTTCTCATGCAAAGGAGCTCTCTCTGCCCCAGGCCTGTGTCCTGCTCTCCAGCCTTCCCCAAGACATTCTCCAAGAAAGCTGTTCCTTTCTCTCCTCTCCCTGGCTGGATTCAGGCCCCAACATTTTGAGCTGCAGGCTGGAACTTACTAGCCAAATCCTCATGCCCATCTGTGGGCACCTTCCACCTGGGGCAGGGTAGAGGAGACTGGCAGTCAGAGGGTAAGGCTATAGTTTCCTTCTGAGGCCAGCTTGACCACCACTCAATAGACAATTTAATTTTTTGTCTTGCTTATTTTTTATTATTATTTTTGTTTTGTTTCTCTGAGGCTGTGGTGTGGGAGGAAGTATAAAGAAGTGTAAACAGGAAAGCCAGCCGGGCCTGGAGTTCCAAGCGCCCATATTTCATTGGCGGCTTCCTCTCTGTAACTGCTTCAGGGACACTTAACTCTTCCCTGGCTGTGACAAGTATTCACTGGGGTGGGGTGGGGGGCAGCAGGGTGTAGGGGCAGGATCCAAGTGTAAGCTCCTCTCAGGCTGGGTTTGAATGCTGAGGTGGACGCCAAGGATTCCAAATGAGGGAGAAGCGGACCACTCAGCACAGTCCCCCAAACTCAGTCCCTTTTGGGACAGAGCAGAGAAGGCAATTGTCTGTATGGGTTTCACAGCTTGGGATCAGCCCAGCCAAGCAAGGAGAACAGGGCTAGCAAGAACACTTCCCCTCTTTTAGGGCAGAGCTCACTGGTCACTGTCCATTTTTTGGAATTTCTCGGAGTAATCAGATTTTGAGGCTGGGATCTGCCCACAGCGGGATTTATCGATTGCTGCAGCGCTGTTACACATCCATATTAATTAACCTAGACACCGCCTGGAAACCAAGCTGTTTGGGATGGGGGAGGGGAGAAATTGGGGGCCTTTAAGGAAAATGGACATTTATCAGTAATTCTTGCCCTGGGGCTCAGATTGGAGAATCGCTTCCCCACAAGATACACGTGTCTTCCCAAAGCTCCATGTCCCTCGACTTCTCAGCAAGAAGGGTAAGCCTGACTTACTCTTCACAGTCAGACTACACACTTCTTCAGGGTGGAATTATACACCTCCCAGGCCCAAACACTTCAGAGTTAGTTTGCCCCAGCACTCCGATGGATGGATCCTCTGGTGGTTGTTTCCAGCAGCACATTTTTAGAGGGGTTAACATCCCCTCCCCACCTTCCTTTTAACTTCCCCAAGGCAGAAGCTTTTTATGGCTTCCCCGGCTTGTGTTTAGTGTTTGTTGGTGGTGGTAGTGATGGCCTTCTCCTTCCTCCTATCCCTCTCTCCAAAAAGTGATTAAAATCTGTTAAAGGATTTAATTAAGAGAGTTAAATGAAAAGGAAGGAGGCGCAAATGAGTTGGGGGAAAAAATCCACACCAAAGCTATTCTCAACGATTAAATCGCCATTTTAACAATATAATGGAGTTTGCATCCTGAAAGGGGAAATCAACGCTCATATCTCATCAATAATTCATAGAGTTCGGGATCACGCAGAGGTCAGCAGACGGGCCGAGCGCCGGCCTACTTGGGGCTCCGAGCCGCTGCCGCATACATTAGCGCCGCCGGCCACACCGCCGTCACCTTCAGCGCTCCTACAGGTTTAGGCCGATTTTTTTCCTCCTGGCGAATTTACTGAGACCTAGATTTCGGGCTTCAAGAGGAAGTGGGCGATTCAGGAGACTGTAGAGGATTGGACTTCTGACCACTCTGGACCTGTCGGACCCGAATAGATCAGCACATTCCCATGTTTTAATCTCTTTCTCTTCCGCTTCTTTCTCCTACGATGT